ATAGCTATGAAGGATTCACATGTATGCATCCTCCATTTTCCTGTATAATGATATATGGAATATGAAACCCTAAGGAATCTTAACACTCAAAAGGAGACATGTACTACCTTTTAAATATTTAACAGAATAGATATTCTTATTTCCATAGATGCAAATTGAATCATACTGTCCAACTTCAAATACCATTTTATTAGGCACACAGACAAATATACTATAAAATAGAATATAGTTTACATGCTCTTCTGGTGAACACTTTGGTTTAACTGTAATACCTCAAGGAAAAAAAAGTATAGCTCTTATTTTTTCATAGTTTAATTTTAATTTGTTTAAATACAAGCACTTCTTCAAGCGTTATGTTCTTAACCTTTCTTGAGCTCTTGAGCCAGATACTTGCTAAATACTTTTTAAAATGTTATCTCATTTAATTCTCAAAACAACCTTGTGAGGTAGGTATTATTACATAGATGAGTAACATACCTGAAATAACATAGGAGAGAGTGAACAGACTGAAACTCAGTCAGATTCTGGAGCCTTCACTAGTGATCATTATTTCATACTCCTTTCTTAAACCATAAAGAAATCTAAAGTTAGACGCTGATATGTTGCATTTTTTATTTTATTCATAGGGCACCTATATGAAATCTATTTCATCTCTTGGTGAATTCAATAAGATGAGGATCTGGTTTTGTCATTTTTATCTTCTTCCACATATCCTTCCTTTTTATGGAAACCAGACTAAATTAAAACTTGAGTTTTAAAATTTGTACTGAGTTTTAATTTAAGGCTAGCTCTAAAAACTTGGTAAGACTTGACCTTTAAAATATAAACTCTTTTTAATTTTTCTTTTTTTATCCTCACCCGAGGACATTTTTGCATTTATCTTCAGATAGAGCAGGAGGGAGAGAAGGAGGAAGAGAGAGAGAGAAACATGGACGTGAGAGAGACACATTGAGTGGCTGCCACCCACATGACCCCAACCGGGGCTGGGAACCGAACCTGGGACTCTGGTCCGTGGGCGGACACTCTAACCACTGAGCCAAACCGACCAGGGCTAAAATGTAAACTCTTATTGACCCTGTTTTTAAAATTTTTTACTGGTTATTTTTATCTCAAATACAGATCTACACTAGTTTCTTATGTAGAAGATTTTAAAATGTCAATACATTTATTGATTTTTATATAGTATTACTCTTAAAGAAACAAGTAAAAGATTTACTGCTACTTTCATTTTTAACTTTTTGTGTGTATGTATTTAAACAAGTTGTTGGCACTTGTAGTCATCTCCTTTAATAGTCACCGTCAGTTCCTTTAGTTAGAAAACTGGGAATTAAATGAGCTTCAAAAGGAGATAATTCTCCCTGAATTTTTTCAGCTTAGGTTCAAAGTTATCTCTTTATCCACTGATGCTATTGGAACTCCAGGGATATAAGTCTCTGAATAAGATGTGTAAAATTACTGTACTCCCTCCATTATGTACTCACCCTATAAGAATAACATCTGATTTTTTTTTCAGAGGTCAGACTTATTCTAAACACCTATAAACATGGAAACAAAGTCTCTTGAGATGTCTCAAAGTCTGTATACTTTATGTTGGAGAGGCCCTTTCCAGTCTGCTTATTTTACATTATATAAAACTAAAAAGTAATAGGCTTGTGGTTTATCTTTTCAAGTTCAGTAGTGTAGGTTGAAGCGACCAGTTTTAAAGTGACAGCAGGTGAACTGTGACAGACTGGAGGAGAGATGGGCAAAATAATAAAAGCAAGTAAAAGTCCAGCATTTGGAGACTCAGTCTTCTAGTCAGTCCTGAGGATATTACTAACTTAGTGATCAAAAGATACATATATTTAATTTATATGAATTGGAAAGACATAAAAATATATTGAAAAGAATTTCATGAGATGTTTATTAGCAATTTTTTTTTTTAATCCTCATCGGAGGACATTTTTTCCATTGATTTTTAGGTAGAGCGGGAGGGAGGGAGAGAGACATTGATGTAAGAGACACATCATTGGTTGCCTCCTGCACTACCCGGACCGGGACTGAGTATCGAACCTGCAACTGAGGTACGTGCCCTTGACCAGGAATCAAACCTGTAACTCTTGGGTCCTCAGCCTGACACTCTAACCACTTAGCCAAACCAGCCATGGCGGCATATTTAATATTTTAATGTTTAAAATTGATACTCTAATTAGTGAATATATGTTATATCACATAAAGAAAATTTTTATTTTAATAATAACGTGTAATAATAGCATCTGGCTATATAAATGTTAGGTACTATTGTTTTTACCAACATCTTCTCTATTTTGGAGTCAATTTACTATCTAAAATGTCTTTAGTTCTTTGCCTATACACTTTTTTTTTTATCACCTGAGGACATGCTTAGAGGAAGCGGGACTGGGGGTAGAGAGAGAGAGAAAGAAAGAAACAAACAAACAAACATCTATCGGGTAGCCTTCTGTAGAGCCCTGACCGGGAATCAAACCAGTAACCTTTTGGTGCATGGGATAATGCTCAACCAGCTGAGGCACTCCAGCTGGGCTGCCCATACACTTCTTTTAATTTATTAGTGTTATATTACTTATATGACCTTTTTTTAAAGTTTTTTTTTTTTTTTACTGATTTTTAGAGCAAGAGGAAGGAAGAGGGAGAAGAGAGTGAGAGAAACATCCATGTGAGAATGATACATCAGTCTGCTGCCTCCTGCATGTTTCCTGCCAGAGATAGAGCCCAAAACCTGGGCATGTGCCCTGACCAGGAATTGAACTGGCAACCTTCTCGTGCATGGGATGACGCCCAACCAACTGAACCACTCTGGCTAGGGCACTTGTATGGCACTTTTGTATTAACTTTGTCTCCATGGTCATAGGGAATTAGAATTAGGTTTTATTTTATTTTTTTGTTGCCATGGAAAACAAAGGAAGCACCAATTGATACTATACAGTTGAAAACAGCTAATGCCAATAGTCTAGAGCAGTGGTTTGCAACCTTCCTAATGCTGCGACCCTTTAATACAGTTCTTCATGTTGAGGTAACCCCCAACCATAAAATTATTTTCGTTGCTACTTCATAACTGTAATTTTGCTACTGTTCTGTCTTAGGCGACCCCTGTGAAAGGGTTGTTCGACCCCCAAAGGGGTCACGACCCACAGGTTGAGAACTGCTGGTGTACAGAATTATAGTCCTAGGGCTCAGGCTTATATTTTTAATTAAAAATACGTTTATTTGGTAGCTTTATTATTTATTTATTTATTTTTTATTTTTTTATCCTCACCCGAGGACATTCCTGTATTCATCTTCAGATAGAGTGGGAGGGAGAGAGAGAGAAACTTCGACGTGAGAGAGATAACATCAAGCGGTTGCCACCCACAAGACCCCAACTGGGGCGGGGACAAACTGCAACCAAGGTACGTACCGTTAGCGGGAACCAAACCTGAGACTCTGATTCTTGGGCCGGCGCAACAACCGCTGAGCCAAACCGGCCAGGGCTTTTTTTAAAGATAATTTACACACCATAACATTCACCCTGGTAAAGCATACATTTTAGTGTTGCTTAGTATGTTTACAAAGCCTTACAGTTTTTTGTTTTTTGTTTTTATCCTCACCCGAGGACATTTTCCCATTTTTTTGTTTAGGTAGAGGGGAGGGAGAGAGGGGAACAGAGAGAAAGAGAGAAACATCGATGTGAAAGGAACACATCGAGTGGCTGCCACCCGCACGACCGACCAGGGCCCGGGACAAACTGCAACCGAGGTACGCGCCCTTAGCGGGAACCGAACCCGGGTCTCTCAGGACCGCAGGCTGACGCTCTAACCGCTGAGCCAAACCGGCCAGGGCAAGCCTTACAGTTTTAAGGAAACATTTTTACTTACATATGATAATTATATTTCTTTTTTTAGCCGTAAGTTTTTAATTTTGTCCATGTGGCTGCTGTTTCTGATTATATTCTTCTTGCCTTCTCTTAAATTCTTTGTGATTCAGGTCTAATGCCACATCTCTGTAGGGAAGGCTTTCATGATTCCTCATACATTTTGTTTCCCTTTGCTCTCATAGCCCTTTTTTATTCCTTTATTATATTGCTTATCACGTTCATATTGTAATTATCTCTTTAGTCATTTGTCTTCCCTTTCAGACCATTTATCTCTCAAGGACAAAGACTGTTCTTGATATTATGATATCTTCAGGGCTAGAACAATGCCAGATATGGTAGGCGTTTCAGTACATATTTATTGAATGATTATAACCTCAGATAGTTTTGATTGCCTATATCCTTAAGCATATACTAAAAGCTTGATATACTATGTTTAATGGTGAATATTAAAATAATGTGCTTTTGTTGCTGGGGATGTTGCCATTAAAGTGTTGGAAGGGACCAATCCACCTCCACGTAATACATGCACACTCACACACATTCACACTCACACACAAAACAAATTAACATCCATAGAAGTTGAATGACTTAGTGGTGAATTTAAAGTTGGGGTTAAAAAACCTGTCACCTCATTTTGTCCAGTACTATTTTATTTTTCTCTTGCACCTTATAGCCTAATCTGATGAGTTACAATGAAAATTCATTTGTTTCTCAAAGTTTAGGGAAAAGACCTTGATAATGTTAATTCATAATACTTGTTTTTGTTGTTGTTGTTAATCCTCACTTGAGGATATTTTCCACTGATTTTTAGATAGAGTGGAAGTGGGGAAAGGAAAGGAGGGAAGGTGGGAGGCAGGTGGGAACCAAAACTTCAATGTGAGAGAGACACATTGATGGGTTGCCTCCTGCACAATCCTGACAGCAGGGGAAGGAACCAAACCTGCAACCCAGGTATGTGCCCTTGACTGGGATTCAAACCCGAGACCCTTTGATTCAAAGGCTAACACTCTACCCACTGAGCCAAATTGGCCAGGGCTATCTTTCTATTTTTAACGATAAGTAAGGAAATAGTTACCAACCAGAATTTTGAAGACATATTAAACACTGACAATATTTTTCTGTATTCTAGACCTCCGTGAGTGAAAGCCTTCAGAGGGAAGCTGCTAAAAAGCAAGCAATGAAACAGGTAAGGACAAAGAATGAGTTAAATGCATTTGATGTGAAGTATTTCAGCTCACATTTTTAAGTATCAGTTTTGGTATCTAGGTGTTAAGACAAAACAGAATAGGTATGTATAAAGAAATAATTTTATCTTGACCCTTATTTTTGAAAATATGTTAAGATGTTTCTTGATTTACATAGATTTGTGGTTTTTATAAATTTTAAAGGAAAACACGGAATAAATTAGCTCTTTAGTGCTGTGTTATAGTTTAAGCCTATTTCTGTTTTCACATGAGTCAGCAGTTTGACAGTGGATTATAAGGTTTAATAATTCCTGCTAGTGAGTTTGCCAAAAAAATTTCTTTACAACCAGAGTGATTTCACAATTTTATAATATTTGGAATTCATCTACCAAGAAAGGGGAACATCAAATACTTTCTAATAGACTGGCTAGCACCACTATTTATATATAGTGCTGTATGTTTCCAAGCATTTTTAACATATATACATTATTTTAGAAATTCTCACAAATCTCTTCATGGTCCTGATTAAGAAATCTGAAATTTCAAAAGGATAAATAACTCTTATCATTGCACAGTTAGTTGCAGAAATAAGCCTGAAATATTTTCTTTACTTTTTGGCACCTATTTTTCCCTTGTCTAAGTAGAATCTGGTTTAAGGATAAATTTGTTAAGCACTCTCTGTGTGCTAGACATTATAGTGTAAATTACTTTCTAAGAATTATCTTTAATTCTTACAACAATTCTATAAGATAGATGCTCTTATAATCACCATTTTGTAGTTGAGGAAATGAAAGCAAAACAGATTTATGTGACTTTCATGAGGTCTTATATTTAGTAAATGAACAAGGCAGAGAAATTGCAGGGCCCAAGCTTTTAGCCACTGTGTTTTACTCCCTTCCTGGGAATGGGCACAGAATTATGTATTTAGTTATTATTTTAAAATTATATCTTAGTTTCATAGTGGGGTATGATGTGTAACTCAGCAGCCTCAAAATGATTGAGTATAGATATAAAATCATAATAATACCTGATTCTTTAACATAAATGATTGGTTTGAATCCAAATTTTAGAACTTAATAGGATTTGAGACCATCAAGTTCAACTTCTGGTAACTTCTCCAAGGTCATAAAGGTGTCTTATTTTTTAGTGTTCTTTTAACATTTTTCAATCCTGCCTTTTCTTATTCACTTAAAGCATAAATCCCAAATCTAAATGTATTCTCAACTCTGACTTGTTCAAAGCCATTTTTTCTCTTCAATGGGGCTTTTTCATAGATGCTTGGAAATTGGGAGTACTGCTACAGTTCCTGTACCTCTCTCCTGCCTGCTGCTGCTTTGAAATTCCGCATATACTACCTACTTTTCACCTCAGTCCCCACTTGCTTGTTTCAGCTCTTGTCTTTTGCTTTAATCTCAGACTTTTACTATGATGAATACTAGTTTGATTCCATTTACTAAATCTAAGAGAATACTTTTAGAAATGGTATACTTATTTATCTAATAGACCACTTTTTCTTCCTTTTTTAATTTGTTTTTATTGATTTTAGAGAGAGAGGAAGGGAATGGGAGAGAGAAACATCAATGTGAGAAACATCAATCAGCTGCCTCCTCCCCCAACCGGGAATTGAACCAGCGACCTCTTGGTTCCACAGGAGGACTCCCAACCAGCTGAGCCACACTGATTTTATTCTTTTATCTGACCCCAAGTGTACAAAACTGAGGACAACATTATCTTATTCTCTGTTTCATTGGGAAAACTTGTAATATATCTTTATTAAATACGATATTTGTTATAGGTCTTTGGTACATAATTCTTGTTCAGTTAAGGAAGTTCTAGACTTATCAGGCTGATCACTTCATAAGGGATATAAATGTCTAATCACTAGAAACTAATATATTATTGTATATCAATTATATTAAAAAAAACAAAAATTTTAAAAATAGGGTTGAGCTGGCCCTGAAGCTCCAGATAAGATTTTGATGGCATGAAAGCAGGAGGAAGAACATTTAAGATAGAACACGATAAACCAAAGACAGAGGACTTTATTGAAAAATGTTAATTACAAAAATATCCCAGTTTTTTGCTTTGTTGGGAGATTTTTTAAAAGTATTTCCTACCATTTGAAAACTGAACATTTTATTTGGTAACTCAACTAAAAATTATATGAAGTACCACAGGCATCTAAAACCAAAGTTAGTTTTATGTACTCTATATCGTACTTTACATCCCTTGGAATTTTTGACCTATGGATGCAGATAATTTTATGTACAAATGAATAAATAATAATAGTTCGTGTATATTGAACACTTAGTCTTTGTGATGCTCCATTCTAAGTGTCTTAAGTTTATTAAGTTATTTAATTATTGGAACAACTTTGAAGGTAGATGCAATTCTCTCTTTTTTAGGTAAGGAAAACAGGCACAAAGTGATTAAACAAACTTGCTCAAAGTAGCTAGTAAGTAAGTATAGAGCCAAGATTCAAATTCAGGCAGCCAGGCTCCAGAATTGATGTTTATATTTTTTGTCTTAAAAAAATGATTGATATAATTTTTATGATATGATTCTATCTCAAGAAAATTAGACTTTTTTGTGCTGTTAGCTCATTTATATTTTGAAACATGTTTAATTTTATTTTTTAAGACCAAACTGGAAATTCAGAAAGCCCTTGCAGAAGATTCCACTGTATATGAATATGACAGTATTTATGATGAAATGCAGAAAAAAAAAGAAGAAAATAATCCTAAATTGATTTTGGGGAAAGACCGAAAGGTTTGTAGCTGAAAATACAAACTTTCTTTGACCTTGACCTACATTGTGTATCTTAATCTTATTTCAGCATGAAGATGATCTGAGAAAAAGCTTTTAGGCATTTGAAGTGTGAAGTGCCCCTACCTGCAGATATTACAGATTTGATGTAGAACCCATGAAGCCATACATTTAGTATTCCATCAGGAGCAAGTGAATAATCTTACAATTTTATAAATTTTGGGTTTTGCCTTAAAACATTTGCAAATAAATTTGTTTGTTTTGTTTTTGTTAATCCTCACCTGAGGATACTTTTTCCATTGATTTTTAGAGAGAGTAGAAGGGAAGGGAGGGAGGGAGAGAGAGAGAAAGAAATAAAAACGTGAACGTGAGACATATCAATCTGTTGCCTTCTGCACACGCCTCAACTGGGGCCGGGGACTGAACCTCCAACCCAGATACATACCCTTGACTAGGAATCAAACCTGTGTCAGTGCTTGGGCTGACATTCTGACCACTGAGCTACAACAGCCAGTGCGCAAATAATTTTTTGAAATATTTTTCTTAGAAAATGTTTGTTCTGCTCTTGTTCGTGCTTATTTGTATTTTATCATTCTCTCATTTGTTTTATTGCTTCTTACCTGGTAACTGAATCATTTACACATATCATGATTAGATTTTTAGTTTGAAAAATAATTAAGGGTGGGGGTTAAAATAAGTTCAGATTTTCTTATTCTTTCATAATCATAGACTAATTTTTAAGGATCTTTGCATCTTACAGTATCTACAAATAAAGTGGTAATGTAAAATGATATATTAAAGCTACTATTTTAAATAATTGTATTACAACTAATGTGAAAAACTAGTAGGAACCTTTATGATTCACATATCTGTTGAAGAAGTATTAAGGCAGTACCAGTAAAAAGGGTAAGAAAAACAGTGGAAAAAAATTACTTATTTTGAGATTTTAAAAAATAATGCTAAAGTAGCACTTTGAATATTTTTTATTTTACATTTACATTTTTATTGAAAAGAACTTTAGTTTCAATCTTGCTAATGTATATTGCTTTTTGAGACAATGATGAGCCTATTTGGACTAGACATTTCTTTCTTAATAAATTCATGATAAAAAATATTAACAATTATTATCTTTGACTCTTTCCTAAATCTTATATTTCCCCTCTAGCCCAAGTATATTCACAACTTATTAAAAGCAGTCGAGATCCGAAAAAAGGAACAGGAAAAAAGAATGGAAAAGAAAATACAGAGAGAACGAGAAATGGAAAAGGGAGAATTTGATGATAAAGAAGCATTTGTGACATCTGCTTATAAGAAAAAACTACAAGAGAGAGCTGAAGAGGAGGAAAGAGAAAAGAGGGCTGCTGCACTCGAAGGTGAAGTGGAAGAGGGAGGGGGTAGAAGGAAGCAGAAGCAGCAGAATTCTGCCGCATTTAACCTTTTCTTCTGTCACTGAACTTTCAGGTTATAATGTTGTGGTCATAATTTATGTATAGGAATTGAAGGTACAAGTTATATTATGTTGTATTATAAAACAGAGGAGGTTTTTACTAAAAATAGTTGCACTCAATAACTAGTACTTCTAGTAACCTTTTCACTCATGTCTTGTTTTGTTGCTTAAAACTATGGTCATTACAAGTCATTACCTTGGAAAATTATTCCAAATGTAAAAACTCATTACAAGGCTTAATACAACGACACTTGTAGAAGCAATATCATCAGATTTAAATCCTAGTTATGTTTTCTGATATGGGAAAATTAGAGTAACAGTACCCAAGAGCATCAACTTGGAACATTAATTCAAGAAAGAACAAAGATGTGCAAATGCCAAACAAATTTACATAGCTTTACTTCAGTGTTTTCTACTCATGGTCATTTCTCAAGATTTGAGTGAAATATATGTACTTATAAATAGCTTAATTGGCAAATGCTAATCAGCTTTAAGTGGAAGAAAACCAAATCTGTAAGACTGAGTGTATGCACGTACTGTATGTTTGTCTAGCGCATCAGTCAGCAAACTTTTGTAAAGGACCAGATAATGAACATTTTAGGCTTTGTGTGCCATATGATCTCTGTTGCAGCTACTAAACCCTGCCTTTATAACGCAAAAGCAGCCCTGGACAATATGTAAACAAATGAACAGGGTTACATTCCAGTAAAAATTTATTTACAGCGGCAACAGGCCAAAGTTGGCCTACAGGCTATAGTTTGCCAACTCTTAAATTTTTTTTTTGTTAATCCTCACCCAAGGATATTTTTTCATTGAGTTTTAGGGAGAGTGGAAGGGGAGGGGGTAGAGAGAGAGAGAGCGAGCACGTGTGAACAAGCAACATTGATGTGATAGAGACTATTGGTTGCCTTCTACAAGACCCCAACCGAGGCTTGGGATTGAACCTGCAACCCAGGTACATGCCCTTGTCTGGAAATCAAACCGATGACCCTTCCTTCGGTAGGCCAACACTCTACCCACTGAATCAAACTGAATCAGGGCCTGGTTTGCCAACTCTTGATCTAGACAATAGTTTACACACTGTATATGTTATATACTCTATATCTGTAAAACAGCTGCATTTTTGCCTTGTTGAGTATATTCTCACTTTTGCTTTCCCTCTCTTAGCACGTTTGGATGTAACCAAGCAGAAAGATCTCAGTGGATTTTATAGGCATCTATTAAATCAAGCAGTTGGTGAAGAGGAAGTACCTACGTGCAGCTTTCGTGAAGCTAGGTGAGACGTGGCATATGGAATATTTAGAATAAAGACATTGTTCATGATTTGTGATTGTAACCCTCTGAAAGATAGAGGATTGCAGCATTGCATATTGTTTTGTCAGCCAAACCTGACTTAATTGGCTAGAAATTCAGTTTCTTAATTTAAAAACATGTAGATTTAGTTCAAGATCGTCTTTATTCTGCAGTAATTTTACATGCATATTTAGGTAGTATATAAAAAAAAGATGTGGTTTATTTTTATAAATAGGACCTAGCCTCCATAAAATGTAAGATTCACATATTAAAGGCTAGAAGTGCACTATCCAATATGTAGCCGCTAGTCACATGTGTCTGTTTAATATTAAATTTAAATTTTTTGGTCATAGCCACATTTCAAGTACTCAGTTGCCACATTTTGCTAGTGGCTACCATGTTAAGAGAACAAATATGGACATTTTCACTTACAGACATTTCTATTAGTACTGGTCTAGAGGATTTTTTGAATAAAATTATAAAGTATTAAGTATGAATGGTGAAATGATGCCATAAATATATAGAAGGTAAAAGGGAGAATTAGTCCTAAACTTGTATTTAAGTAAATTTTCTGGGAACAGAAACATTCAGATAAGAGGATCTGAGTCTTATGTTGCTGAGGAAAGGGGAGACAGGAGACTGGAATTAAGGATTAAGAGAAGGAATTAGGTTTATACTTCCCACCCCCCAACCGCTAGGTTTTGATTAAAAAATTGATGAGATGAGTCTAAGAAGGTATATTTGAAAATTGAGATTTTGAACAGAAAAATGAGCATTTTTATTACAGTGTCATCTGGAATAGTTGTGAGGCCAACCATAAGTCTCCATAATGTCACTTAATAGTTACACTTCTCAGAGCCTAATACAATTCCTAATTATTGGTGACTACTTTAGCCAAGACAGTTGTACTGTCAGTTCCTAGAGAACCATAGTTGTTGCTCTGTTAGTATGATTAGTAAGTGATAAGAATGAATGTGTGAGTAATGTAAATAAATTAACCACACTTATCAGCGGGGAAATTGTAGATGATGTAAACAATTTTAGTGTTGCTGATTATAATGATAGGATGGATTCATGTTTCATTTTGTTGTGATAGGTGCCAAAGAGTATATCAAGATGCTGGTGCCTTTTTAATTATAAGAGGGTTTATTTAGTGATATTTCTAGTTAGATTTTGCCACCATTTTGCTGTGAAAAAATGTATTTTCATCTATTTCCAGAACTCTTCTTTTTTTTTTTAATCCTCACCCGAGGACATTTTTCCATTTTTTGTTCAGATAAAGTGGGAGGGAGAGGGAGGAAGAGAGAGAGAGAGAGAAACATCAACGTGAAAGGGACACATCGAGTGGCTGCCACCCGCACGACCAACCAGGGCCAGGGACAAATGGCTACCGAGGTACATGCCCTTAGCGGGAACTGAACCCGGATCTCTCTGGACTGTAGGCCGATGCTCTAACCGCTGAGCCAAACTGGCCAGGGCTCCAAAACTCTTCTTAATTTTTATACAAAGAAAAATAAAAATCTTACAGAGAGCTACAACTTGAACTAATATAGTAGTAGTTTCATAATTGTAGTTTTATTGATTTAAATATTGAGAAAAATTATATGAACACTTTATTTGCTTACTATAAATGATAATGTGGCATTTAGTGTTATATTATTTTTTTAAAGGTCTGGGATAAAGGAAGAGAAATCAAGGGGTTATTCTGATGAAGTAAGTTCAGAGGATAGAATACCACATGAGAAATGCATTCTCCAAACTGTTGTGAAAGTGGAGGAAAACCCAGATGCAGACAGTGACTTTGATGCTAACAACAGTGAGGAGGATGAAATGGAAGAAAATACTAAAGTGAACTGTAGAAGGGAAAAGAGCATAGAGACCCCTGAGAACGACTCCAGGCGTCACAGGCATCAAACCCACTCACGGTCATCTAGTGAAGAAAGAGAACATGGTACCAAAAGCTACATAAAAAGTTACAAGTCAAGAGGACATGAGAAAAAGGAAGATCAGCACCAAGAGAGACAATCCAGGGACCAGGAGAACTATTACACTGACCGTGATTACCGAAAAGAAAGGAAGGATTCCCATAGGCATAGAGAGGCCAGTCATAGAGATTCCCACTGGAAGAGGCATGAACAAGAAGATAAACTGAGGGGAAGAGACCAAAGAGAAAGAAATGACAGAGAATGGAAAAGGGAGAAAGACAGAGAGAAATATCCTACAAGAGAACAAGAAAGAGACAGACAACGAAATGATCATGACCGACACAATAAGAAAGGAGAGAAGGAAGAGAAAAGCAAAGAAAAGGAAGAACATATGAAAGCAAGGAAAGGAAGATATGAAAACAGAGATAGAGAAAAACGAGAAATGAGTGTTCAATCTTCAGAAAGAATGCGAGACAGAAAGGAAAGCAGCCCTAATTCTAGGACAAAGGATAGGTGTAATGACCAGGAAAGATCCGGTAAAATGAGAAACATGGAAAAGGACAATGAAAGAATCCCAGAGAAACTCTCTAGTTCTGAAACATCGCTGGAAGCAAAGCACAGAATCACAGAGGAATGCCAAGAGATGGGCAAAAAACAGGAAGGAGTACACGAGACAGTGAACAAGTTTGCAAAACGGAACAATGAAGAAACTGTAATGTCAGCTAGAGACAGGTACTTGGCCAGGCAAATGGCACGGGTTAATGCAAAGACATATATTGAGAAAGAAGAAGATTGACTTTCTGGAACGTGCTGTTTGAACACATCAATACGCTGTTTGAACACATCAAGGAGTGTGTTAACAATGGTAAAATATATTTTTCAAAGTTTATTTTTGGTTTAGTATTAAGTTAAAAGTCAGTCCTTTTATCTTGACTGAATTGATATGTAATATTTACTTATCAATACCATATTGGTTATACTCAAGCAGCCTAAAGAGTGTGCTGAATCCCAGTAGGTACTTTATAAAGAAAATTAGCTCCACTGTAATCAAAAAGTAATGTAAACAACTCTCTTAATGGTTTTGTTGTAGGAGCTGTTTATTTTATAAATATTGTTTCAGATAAAATTAAGTGAATTTGAACAGAGAGAATATTGTTATACTTTATGTTTTGAAATTTGTATTAAAGTATAAAATATGGATAGATATGCATCTTGTTTAACTTTTAAGTTCAAGCATACTTGGCTTAAATGAAAATAAAAATGGTGATATGTTTGTACTTTAATTCATGCTCTTTTTTAAAAATGTCATTTATGCCACAATTCCTCCTTTTTTCCTCATTAGAAATCACTTTAATTCTGTGACCCTCTCACAAGTTAGTAAATTGGTTGTGTATATAAATCAGTTTTAACTAAGTGTGAAAAAATGGAGACATTTAGCCTAAATGAAATTAGCTAAAGATCCAGGTGGCCTATTTATGAACATGTCTTGTTTTAAATGCTCTAAAAAATATAATACAGCTTATTACAACTTCCCTTTATGTGTCAAAATAAAGCTATAATCTCTACACTAAGTCTTTGAAACTAAATAACTGTAAGTAATGTATTCATGGAAAATGGATGAATGGTATGGAGAAAATGGTTCTCTAACAAGTCTTCCCATTAAGAAAGTGTATTTGGTCTGGCTGGTGTTGCTCAGTCGTTGAGCGTTGACCCATGTACCAAGAGGTTGCTGGTTCAATTCCCAGACACATGCCCAGGTTGTGGGCTCAGTCCCCAGTGGGGGGCATACAGGAGGCAGCCAATTGATGTTCTCTCTCATCGATGTTTCTCTCTCTTTCTCCTTCTCACTACCTCTCTCTATAAAATCAATAAAGGAAGAAAAAAAATTTTTTTTTTAAAGTGTATTTTTCTTGGCTGGGTAGCTTGGTTGGAGCGTCCTACTGTACACTAAAAGATTGTGGCTTCGATTCCCAGTCCAGACACTTAGGGGAGGCAGCCAATCAGTGTTTCTCTTTCATATCACTGTCTCTCTCTTTTTTTTAAAAAAAATCATTGAGCCCTGCCAGTTCTGCTCAGTGGTTAGAGCGTCAGCCAGCATACCAGAGAGTCCCAGGTTTGGTTCCTGCTAAGGGCATGTACCTTGGTTGCAGCCCATCCCCAGCCCCGGTGGGGGTTCTGCCGGTGGCAACCAGTCGATGTATGTCTCACATAGATGTTTCTCTCTCTTCCTCCGTCCCGCTCTATCTAAAGATAAATGCCAAAATGTCCTTGGGTGAGGATTAAAAAAAAAAAAAAAAAAATCAATGAAAACGTATCTTCAGGTGAAGATTTTTTTAAAAAGCCTTAAATGGGGGACGGGAGAGGGAGGAGGGTGTCTGGGGGGGAAAGGAGACACATCTGTAACAAAAATACATTTTTTTGAAAAATGGCCTTAAAAAAAGTGCTATTTATCTCTCATACTTACTTTATCATAAAGAGTTACCACATTTTTAGAATAAACTTAGCTTAATAAGAATATTAACTTTTGCCCTGGCCAGTTTGGCTCAGCGGTTAGAGCGTTGGCCTGCAGTCCCAAGAGACCCAGGTCCGGTTCCCGCTAAGGGCACCTACCTCGGTTGCAGTTTGTCCCCGGCCATGGTTGGGTTGTGTGGGTGGCAGCCACTTGATGTGTCCCTTTCACATCGATGTTTCTCTCTCTCTCTTCCTCTCTCCCTTCCACCCTATCTGAAAAAAAAAAAAATGGAAAAATGTCCTCGGGTGAGGATAAAAAATATATATATATATTGACTTTAAAAAAAAAAATTACAGCCCTGGCCGGTTTGGCTCAGCGGTTAGAGCGTCAGCCTGCGGTCCAGAGAGACCCAGGTTTGGTTCCCACTAAGGGCACATATCTCGGTTGCAATTTGTCCCCAGCCCTGGTTGGGTTGTGTGGGTGGCAGCCACTCGATGTGTCTCTTTCACATGGATGTTTCTCTCTCTCCCTCCCACTCTGAACATAAAATGGAAGAAATGTCCTCGGGTGAGGATAAAAAAACAAAACAAAACAACATTAAGGATCAAATTTAGCATTTATAAATAATTTTATTACACCTTTAAAACCAGAAGGGACAAGTAACAAGAAAGCTTATGTGTCAGTATCTCCTGACTGACACGTTAAATATCAGTTGTATCCTAATACTTTAAAGTAGATCAGTGATAGTAACACTTACAAAGCACTGACTCCGCATGTATGGAGGGATGTGGTATAATGTAACTTTGAAAAAGTTAGGATGACATTGTGGAAGACCAGGAGTACAGGCTCAACTTGGATAGAGAATTTGGTGCCTCTGTTAGGGTTAAAACTAGAGCCATATTTAGGGAAGATCAGTTTAACCATAGTCTAGGAGGGAGAGACTAGTCTGAGGGATAAGGTGAGAAGCTATCGATTTCTCTTTCCCAGTAAGTTCAGAGACTCACAAAGCAGCTTGGATGCTTTAGCAAAAACTATAATACAGTTGGCCCGTGAACAACAGGTTAGAATTGTGTGGGTCTGATTATATACATACTTTTTTCAGTAAATAATGTATTTTCTCCTTTTTATGGTTTTAACATTTTCCCCTAGCTTTATTGTAAGAATACAGTATGTAAGGCATATTACATACAAAATATGTTAATTGACCATTTATGTTGTTAATGGTAGGCTTCCAGTTGGTCAACAATAGGTTACCAGTAAAATTTTGCGGGAGTCAAAAGCTATACAGTACATGGATTTTTGACTGTGTGAGAAATTGGTGCCCCTAACCCCTTCACCCTTGTGTTGTTCAAGGGTCAACTGTATTACTAAGTTTGACATAAGTTAGGGAGAAGCTATAAATTAAGGGTTTCTTCTTTCTTCTTCCCCAGATACATAGATGTTTTTGCCTCGAATTCATTCACACCTTTTCTGAGAACAGTGCCTTGATCTTCCCTCAGGAAAGTACCCCTTAACTACTGTTAGTCTGGTGATTCAAATGGGGCTGAAAAGGCTCCAGGAAAAGTATGTGACTCAAGCTAGGAATGCTAGTAGAAGACTTAACGTTTTCCACTGGCACCAACGTGAGCATGAGGTGAGTCCAGAGTTGCATGGGAGGAGTGTCTGCCTGCCTGATAGAATAAAGCTCACACAAAAGAGCAGAAACGAGTGAAAGATGAAGACCTAATGATTGCTTTTGAATCTCTGGTTCTAGTAGGGCATGTTATTTTTTAGCTACTTAAATCAATACTTTTCCTTTTTCTCTTGGCCCAGTTTGAATTGGATTTCTGCCACTATAGCCAAAAAGCTCTATTTCATACAACAAAGTTCCACATCTGATTAAGTCTGTGCCAAGTTACAGAACATTCTTAATCTTGAAAATTGTAGTATAATGTGTAAAGAAAGTGCATGTATCATGAGTATATAGTTTCATGGATTTACACAGCAGCAGCTCCCCTCAAACCCTATTATAGCCTACTCCCCCCTTGACTTTTAACACCACAAATTTTGTTTTCTAGATTGTATAGCATTTATCCATCTATTATTAATAGGCATGGAGTTTATTTTCTGTTTAGAGTTATAAATAATACTTTTAGGAACATTCTTGTACTTGTCTTCTAGTATGCACATATTTATGTTTTGATTGAGTAATTCCTAGGAATGGAATTGCTGATTCATAGAGTACGCAACAGTTTTAATAGATACTGTCAGAAATAGTACCAAAATATACTCAATGTTCCAGTTGCTCCACATTCTTACTTATACCTGTTCAGTGTTTATCTTTTGTCATCTTTTAATTTTAGCCATTCTGGTGGGTGGGATATCTCATGTTTCTTTTAATCCTCATTTGAGAGAAACGAAGTAAGTGAAAAAGAGAGAGAAACCTTGATTGGTTGGCTCATACACACGCCCTGATCAAATCTGCAACCTGGTCATGTGCTGATTGGGAATTGAACCTGCAACCTTCCTTCAGTGCACAGGATGACGCTCTAACCAACTGAGCTACACTGGCCAGGGTGATAGCTCATCGTTTTATTTTTGGTTCCCTTAATGGCTATCATATTGGCATTAGTACTACTACTTTTTTTTTAATCCTCACCAGAGGATATTTTTCCTTTTTTTTTTTTTTTCATTCTGACCTGAGGACATTTTTTGCATTTATCTTCAGATCAAGTGGGAGGGAGAGAGGGAAGAAAGAAACATCCATATGAGAGAGACACATCAAGTAGTTGCCACCCACACAACCCCAATCAGGGCTGGGGACAAACTGCCACAGAGGTACGTGCCCTTAGTGGGAACCGAACCCGGGACTCTCTGGTCCACTGACTGATGCTCTAACCACTGAGCAATACCGGCCAGGGCTCCATTGGTTTTTAGAGAGAGTGGAAGGGAGTGATAGAGCGGAGAAGATAGAAAGAAACATGGATGTGACAGAGACATCGGTTGGTTGCCTTCTACTCGCACCCCTACCAGGGCTGGGAATCAAACCTGCAACCCAGCTACGTGCCCTTGACTAGGAATTGAACCTGCAACACTTCAGTGTGCGGGCCAACGCTCTAACCACTTAGACATGCCAGCCAGGGATGGATAATTCCTTTTTAAAGAGTCTGTTTCTTTTGCCTATACTGGTTCTTCATATATCCTGGATAGGGGTCTTTTATCTTTGCAAGTAACTTCTCCCACCTCTGGCTTGCCTTTTACTCTCTTAACAGTATATTTTAACACCATCTAAGTCTGTATAACGGCTTGTCCCCTAGAAGAGAGCATCGGAATAAGTTAAACCTTGTTGCTGTAACAAGCTCAGATTGTGTCAGACGGTTTTGATCATCTGCCACAGAGTGTTGCTTACAGTTAATGGTATCTATTAATGGAACAAATCTTTAATTTTGATAAAGTTCAACTTAATCAAAAGTAAAATAAAATTGATCAGTTTCTCAGTCACACTAGACACATTTGTGTTTTTTTTTTTCTGTTTTTTATCCTCACCCGAGGACATTTTTCCATATTTTGTTCAGATAGAGTGGAAGGGAGAGAGAGAGAAACATCGATGTGAAAGGGACACATCGAGCGGTTGCCACCCACACAACCAAACCAAGGCCGGGGACAAACTGCAACCGAGGTATGTGCCCTTAGCGGGAACCAAACCCGGGTCTCTCTGGACTGTAGGCCGACGCTCTAACCACTGAGCTAAACTGGCCAGGGCACACTAGACACATTTGAAATGCTCAATAGCTATGTGTGGCCAGCAGCTACTATAAAGGAAAGTGCAGATATAATCGAACATTTCTATTATTGCAGAAAGTTCTGGACAGTAATCTTCTAGAAGCATTATTGTCTACTTTTTACATTTAGATCTGCCATGCAACTTGGAATAAATTTGTGTGTGTGGTATAATAAATAAAATTTTTTTCCATATGGATATCAAATAGACTCAACAGTGAATGAAAATTTATTCAAATTAAATCCACAATGAGCACCATTACACATCCACCAGGAATGGCAAAAATGTTTATAGAGACAATGCCAAGTGTTGGAGAGTTTGTGGAGCAAGTACTAAGCCGTATGTGCTGTCAGTGGCAGATTAATTAATGCAGCAGGTCTTTAAATAATGTTTCCTTCAATGTCATTTCATTATACCATTGATGAGGGGAAAAATTTGATTTCCGGCTGGTTGGTTCTCCCCATGTCCGCGTGGGTTTTCTCTCCGCGCTCCGGTTTCCTCGGAGCCACATCCTAAAGATGTGCACGTTGGTGAATCTGAGTGAGTGGCTGTGTGAGTGCTCCCTGCAATGGAACAGCATCCTGCCCAGGGTTGGTGCCTGCCTGTGCCCTGAGCCGCCAGGGTCGGCTTCAGCCACCCGAGACCCTGAACTGGAATAAGTAAGTTGGACAATCATCTTGTTTTTATTCATCTTTCTTAAATGTATGTAGCTCACATTTGTTTCTTTAATATTAGAAGTGTTTTCGGTCTTTGTTGAGCAGCTTGGTGATGTTTTTGTGACCAGAAATAAGTGTAGGAACTCACCTCTTGTTTATATCAGTTAGCCTGTGGTAAAATTGGTTTTGTTGTATGTCATTTTGCCTTCAAGTTGCAGTTTCCAAGAATCTATTGACCACATCAGCGAGGACTTACTGTACAACCTCTTCGAAAAACAATTTGGTTTGATCTAGTAACATTGATGCTGCACATTTTCTATAACTCGTGTTCTTCCAAAAAAGAATATTTATAATAGTGTTTTTCATCAAACTGGAAACAACCTAAATGTCTATCAATAGTGAATGAATCTGGTGTGTATATATACACAACACAGTGAAACAAACACACTAGAGCTACACACAGCATCTTGGATACACTTCACAGTAATGTAAGAAACAAAAAGTAATTCATATAGTTTATATTTTAAATAGGCAAAACCATATTGTATAGACATACATGGGTACATGGCAAAACTAAAGAAAAGAAAGGAAATGATCATTACAAAAGTCAAACCCTGGCTGGGAGGCCCAGTTGGTAGGAACATTGTCCCATACACCAAAAAATTTCAGGTTCAATTCCTGCAGGGCAAATACCTAAGTTGTGGGTTTGATTCCCAGTTGGGGCACATATAGGAGGCACCCAATTGTTGTTTCTCTCTGTCCCTCTTCCTCTTTCTAAAATCAATAAAAAACGTAGCCCTGAGGAGGATTTAAAAAAACAGTCAAGCCCTGGCAGGTGTTGCTCAATGGTTAGAACGTTGGCCCATGTACTGAGGGTCGAGGGTTCAATTTTCAGTCAAGGGCACCTACCTCGGTTGCAGGTTGGTTCCCTGGCCCCAGTTGTGGTGCATGTAGGAAGCAACCAATCGATGTGTCTCTCACATCGATGTTCCTCTCTTCCTCCCTCCCACTCTCTAAAAATCAATGCAAAAAATATCATTGGGGGCCCTGGCCGGTTTAACTCAGCAGTTAGAGTGTCCGCCTGCAGTTCAGAGACTCAGGTTCGTTTTTCCCTAAGGGCACATACTTCGGTTGCAGTTTGTCCCCGGCCCTGGTTGGTTGTGTGGGTGGCAGCCACTCAGTGTGTCCCTTTCACGTCAATGTTTCTCTCTCTCTCTCTCCTTCTCTCTCCCTCCCACTTTATCTGAACAAAAAATGGAAAAATGTCCTCAGGTGAGGATAAAAAAAAAAATCCTTGGGGCCATGGCCAGTTTGGCTCAGCGGTTAGAGCGTTGGCCTGTGGACCAATGAGTCGCAGGTTCGATTCTAGTCAAGGGCACGTACCTCAGTTGCAGTTCATCCCCAGCCCTGGTTGGGATTGTGTGGGAGGCAGCCATTCAATGTGTCCTTTTCACATCAATGTTTTTTTCTCTCTCCCTATCTTTCTCTCCCTCCCTCCCACTCTATCTGCGGAAAAGTGGGAAAATGTCCTCGGGTGAGGATTAAAAAAAATAAAAATATTCTTGGGTAATTAACAAAATAAATAAATAAAATAAAAGTGAAGATAGCATTTATGATATGGGCTTCTAGATGCTAGACTATTGTTTCTTGAATTGAATGGTGGTTACTTGGCTGTTTATTCTATTCTTTTTTTTTTTTTTTATCCTCACCTGAGGACATTTTTCGATATTTTGCTCAGATAGAGTGGGAGGGGAAGAGAGAGAGAGAAACATCAATGTGAAAGGGACACATCGAGCGGTTGCCATCCATACGACCCAACCAGGACCGGGGACAAACTTCAGCTGAGGTATGTGCCCTTAGCGGAAACTGAACCCAGGTCTCCCCAGACCGCAGGCCGACACTCTAACTGCTGAGCCAAACCAGCCAGGGCATGTTCATTCTATTCTTTTTATTGTAAATATATTGTGTGCATAATACATCTTACAGTAAACATTTTTGTGATCTTAAAATTGTTAATACATGAGTTAGAGGAACTGTTGGCCATCCTGGTTCATCTTAGTCATTTCTACAGGAAGAATCTATGTAGACGTCAATCAGTTGAGTGGTTTATGCACAGGACAGCAGTTCTTTGATAGTATATTATTTGGACCAGTGTGAATAAGGGATTCATTGAATTTGTTGCCAGATATGTGTTCTTTTAAATATATGAGGTCTAAAATAATGTACTTAAAGAACTTTTATTAATAGGTAACCAGCTAACTGAATTTTCAATACAGTCAGCCCTTGTTTATCGCGGTTAATCAGTTTCAGACTCTACTGCGACAAATGAATTTCCATGAAGTAGGATTCTTTATTTATAAATTTAATATTTTCGCAGTTCGAGCATAGAAAACGTGTTTACGACCTTCTAAATACGTTTTTTAACATTGTTAGAGCCCTTTAGACATGAAATAACACCCTTTAGTCACCATTACACTTGTATTTCTCAATATATTAGACAAAATAAGAGAAAATAAGACATATTAGATGTTACAAATATCATTGTACATTTAATTACACACACACACAGTTCTTACACACAACCACTAACCTATAAAAATAGTGCGACTTGTTTGATGATGAAGTGATGAAGATGAAGAGATGTACTGCACAGCAAAGAAGAGCAAGGTTACTGCTCCTCTGAGGGCACAACCTCAGTAGGAGAGTCTTCAGGTGGTGCGGTTTCTTCAGCAGGTGCATAGTCGTCTTCTTCCACTGAAGAAGGACTAGGAGTAGGCAGTGGGTGTCTGGGTGCCGGCTGAAGAACATCGTGATAGGCAGTTGCTGGCGCTGTCTTTTCATATGTGTGAGGAGGCTTTTGTAGGGTTCTATCGCTCCATCAGTGCATTCTGGAACCACAATGCACGCATCATTTGTGAGTCCCATTCACCAATCATGTCCTGTACATCCTTAATAGTTCTCACAAATTGCGAGAGACACTCAAGTATAAGGCCAACTTCCTCCTCCAGACCCCCAGGAACCTCTGGCTGCTCTTTCTCCTCCTCACTCACACAGACCTTGGCCTCATCCTTGAAAATGAATGTCCGGGAAGGCATGCTTTTCTAGAACTGTCCTGTTTTGTCCATATTGAACACCTGTTCTGGATGATACTCGCCTTCCTCAAGGATCTTCTGGAACGTGCTGTTCACATAGTCCTCTGCTGCAGGCTGGTCAGCAGAGGCAGCTTCTCCGTGGAGAACGACACTCTTCAGATGATACCTCTTCCGGAACTTCTCGAACCAACCTTGCTCGCCGTGAAATACTTGAATGTTGCAGAAGAGGGTCCTGGTTGAGGTTCGTTCACTGTAAAGTGCTGATAGAGCTGCCTCGCCTTCCCCCAGATGACCAGCGAATCCAATGGAATGTTTTTCTTGGCAGCTGTCGCTGATCCAAGTGGCTAGGGCAGACTCCGTTTTCACTATGAACTTACTACAATTTGTACTGTCTCTTGTTGAAAGAGACAGTAGCCGTTGCACGGATGTTCTTTTCATCTTTACGGATGGAGTGAACAGTAGACTCATTCAAGTCATAATGGCGGGCAACCTCTATGATTTACTTGCCATCTTTGATCATATCCAAGAGTTTCACCTTCTCCTGGATGGTAAGCATCTTCCTCCAGCACTTAGTTTCATCGTCAGAAGGCTTAGAAGAAGCAGCATGTTTAGGAGCCATCGTGGGGTTTAGATAAAAGTTCTCAGAAATCATGAACACTTACAAGAGCAAAGATGCTTCTGATGCATAGCGATGTAGAAGCGTGTATGAGAGAAACGAACTAGCATGAGGCTGAGCCAATCAGTGGTCAGCATAGGAAGAGGAGAGGATAGCCAAAGCATGCTTTGATTAGCCTGGTTTCACCACACCTGACTGTTTGGAAGAAAGTTGTTGCCACACACACGGAGTGGTCGAGCGGTTGCACCTGGCATTGAAGGAT